ACACAAACAGGCTTGTTGCACTGGCATCTCGTTCCAGGAATCGCGACCTTTTTGTATTTCTTGGTCTGATTAGGTCCACATCTTTTATTGGCGAGAGGACACAGCGAAGCACAGGAAACCCGACTTCTGCTATCATGTGATTGAATATCTAATGAAATACGACAATGAGTTTTTGAATTCATGAAGTAATATGGGGAAAATCATAGCAAATGTTAAGTAAGCTCTGGATAACTTATTCAAATCCCATGCAATGTCGTCAAAAAACAGAATTATCAAAACTCACTATTTCTTGAACAACTATAGTCATTTTAACCGGGCATGCATTGACGAGCATACGTAAATTTTATATATGTTTACAAGGACTTTGAGCTAATTAAGTTTTGCGCAACTTGTGAGATCATCAGGCTACTGATGTCAGCTCGATGCTCTATTTATAGTTTTTGTCCTCGAGGCACAATATATGATAATATGATTTTATTACGCATGTCAAATACAGTCAAAGATTAAGTTTTGCATCGATATTGCTCAAGGTTGCACTCGTCGAAATGCAGAGACCCTTACCTTTTCTGTCCACACAAACAGGTTTGCTACATTTACATGTCTTGGATCCAGGAACAGCGACTTGTTTCATCTGTTTGATTTTATTACTTGCACACGTGACACTGTATGACGCACACAATGAATCACACTGATATCGACCTGTATTGTCACAAGTACATCGCCATTTACACGAATCAATCCAAGACTCGCCAGCGTTGTAGTATTTTCTGTCTTGATAATAATAACACCGACGAACCCCTACAAAAAAGAATGGAGCAATGACATTAAAAAGTTACTGGATACAGACCTGTTGTCGCGAACGAAGCGAAAAGTTCTCTCTTCTCGCATTTCTTTAACTTCCCCTACACAAGATTCAGTAGTTTTCCCTCTTTCTAGGTGAATATCTGTATTTATTTACACTGATCATGCATGACTTAATGGCTTGAATTTGTAAAGATATACGATCTAATAGAGAACATACTCCATCATAAACACAGGCGACAAAGCTAGTTTATGTTTACTTTTTCGTTTCGGCTTGTCGACGCAAACGTGCTTGGTGCATTTACATCTGCTTGAWCCAGRGACATCTTCTTGTATTGTTTTCTTGATCTGATGACGACCACACCTTACAGAGCTTAATGGACACAAATAAGAACACTTGTATTGCCTAGTTGGGCCGCATGTACATCGCTGAGTACATGTTGGATCAATCCAAGACTCTCCAGCATCATAATATCTTCGAGTGGTATGGTAGTAACACCGAATCTCTACAAAAATAAAGTTAGAAGTTATACTCAAGTGAGAATAATTTAGGAGAGCGTATATGGGAATATCAGAATACTAGMTAGGGGGTATTTAGTGCTTGAGGTCGAAAACGTATAGTGGATATCTAAGTCTAATAATCAGTATTTCTGTCAATTAACAACTGACACGTTCAGACATCCTCGGGAGCACGAGATTCATATAGAATTTCCAAGGATGGTACCTAGATCTGTGGATTCGTCCTGGCGTTCAGTCAATCACATTTTTACTCTACTCATTGCAGGTCATGTTTGCGAACGATACAGGATCGTTTTGTTATCGAGCAAGTCCGTGTATTACTCGTGGATAGTTCGTCCATAGTTCGGAATAAGTAGACGGAGAGTACTCGGAAAAGTTTGTATGTTGTCCGTACACAACTCGGGATGAGTCGACCTTCGTGTGTTACTCGTTATTATATTTGGAAAGCACGGGCCGGTCGTTTGTAATAGAAGAAAATTAATAACGTATATTTACTTGGTTTGTCGACGCATACGGGTCTCATGCAGTGACATTTAGATCCAGCAATGTCGAACTTCTTTTCTTTCTCGATCTGATTTGGACCACAGTCTGCATAGTGAGGGGGACATAGTTCTGCACACGATAAACGACCATACCCGCCACATCGGCACCGTTTCGTGCAAGCATTGTTAATGAACACCTGATTATAAATGTAGCGCCTGCCATCCTGCCGACACACGACTGAAAGAAATTAGAATCATTATCACTGGAAAAAAATTGCGCGCTTTAAAGGTTCTAAATTGATGTAAATATGATTTAAGTGTCCAAAATTCTGTAAATGTAATGGGAACCATTTACATCAAATTTACATAATTTTGGACACTTACGTCATATTTACATCAAATTTACAACCTTTAAAGCACGCGATTTTTTTCCAGTGCATGTAAGGAGAAATAGTGACACGCTTACGCTAGTGACGTCATGTTTGTTGTGCCGAAGTGCATCATGGTACTGATAATAGCWTCAAAGATGGCGGATATCTTATAACAGCTTCAGGGATGCGAAAATAACGCTAACCGTTGTCGGGAATGCTTCCGAGAAGAACATTTAATACAGCTGATTGTTTCACGGTCAAACGYTTTGAACGTTCGTTTTAACGTTTTGAACTGAGCGTTGCGGTTATAGATTTTAAGTGTTGSTAAGAGTCAGAGGCTGTCAGAACGTTAACTTATCGCATGAAAGACTAGATATTTCCTCTTTCGAGATGGTGAACATCGGCGTATTAGTCTCACTCAAATGAGTGAGTGGTAAAAATGGGTAAGTTAATTTTCAAATTGGCGATTTTCACGATGTCATACTACGACTAACAGAATCCCTATTTTACTGATCTCGAGAGGAAATAAAAAGCATTCCGAGCATTCTTCTTGTCATATTAAAATGATAAAGATAAAACATGGGATTTTTTTCCAGTCAGTAATTTATGAATGGTGGAGACTAGTGGTAAAAAAACTGGTAAACTGGTGTGAGCTGCGTGCGTAGGTGCTTTTAAAGAAACAGTTGTGTAAAAAGATAAACAACGTACTGACGTTTCGGACGTTAATTCTTCGTCTCTTCTTTTTTTGTACTCCGGCGAAGGATTAACGCCCGAAACGTCAGTAAGTTGTTACATCTATTTTTAACGGTGTTAAATTTATCTTTTTACACAACAGTAATTTATGAAACCTAATTTGTATGATGTTTATATCTAAATACCCTAGTACTAAGACATGAGAAAGGGAAACCCTCACATGATGAATCGTCGACGCAAACAGGTTTGCTGCATTTACATGTAGAACCAGGAACATCAACTTGTTTCAATTCCTTGATTTGATGAGTAGCGCACGTTAGATAAGAACCACTAGATGAACAAAGTGATGCACACTGATATCGACCGGTATTGTCACAGCTACATCGCCATGTACATGTTGGATCAACCCACGACTCGCCAGCGTTGTAGTATTTTCCTTGTCCACCTTTACTTCGATAGTAACATCGAGGCTCTTCRATAATGAAAAACAGAACAATTATCAAATTGCAAAGGTTAGAATTTTATATATAAATGAGAGCGTTTCATTTGGGATTCGGTGGTATACATAGCTCAAAAGCTCGGACTTTATTCCATAATTTCCTACGATTTCATTTTAAAATCTATGACCTTGCGAGAATTTGTGGAAGTGAATAAACTTAGCCTTTGAAGGTTCTATACCCTCTATTAGTGGGGACAGGAGGAGGGTGATTAAGTCACGCAAAGCATTGTAATCCAAAATATGCAAGTTTTTAGTTCTTTTTATTTATAGCGTTAAAACGTAAAAACATTAAAAAATATGAACGAGGCACCTTACTTGGCTTGGGAACGCAGGTGGGCTTGGTACAGACACAGTCCGATCCAGGAACAGGATCTCGCTTTATTTTTTTCACCTTACTTTTTGAGCATGTCACCGTCCACGTAGGGCAGAGAGACGTACAGGAAATACGAGTTCCTGGATTGCACTTGCAGCGCCACTTGCAGGAATCGATGAATGTATCGCCGACATGGTAGAATTTGCTTTTATGTCGGCAGACATCTGGAAAAAAAATGAGGCAACCTCAGGGCCGAGGTTAGGCGGCCTGCGAAGAGAATGTTCCCGAATGAATGTTAACAGGAAAATCTCTCTATTTAAAGGGCATCGGCACGTATGTGAGTTTAAAAGAATTAAGATAGCAGGAAAAAACTATATTTAAAGGTTAATGGCATGAGTGTCAGTTTCAAAAGAAGTTTCACACTCTCTTTTATGTCCCACGCGTGATAGTGAATTTAATTATAATTTATACATGGCCTAGTTGAACATAGGGTCGGGCTCAAAAGGACTACATTATCATAGCTAAGAACGAAGGTAAACTTGGTAGAAAAAATTAATTATACAGGTTTTTGGGAATTTTAATGCATTCGAACCTCTGTTAACGACCCTCTGTTTACCGGTCACCCTCCATTAAGCGATCACTCATGGATTCCCAAAAAGTCGATTCTCATATATATTTACTGTAACGTGACCTCTATTAAACGGCCAACCTCTCATATCAAGCAGCCTCTTGGTCTTTCCACAAGGTGACCGTTTAAAAGAGGTTCGTTATGGATGTCTTCCATTCGGCCTTGGCTTTGATGTTTTAACCTTTTTGAACCAGTCAACGCTTTAATTATCACTTAGATGTATATATTTTCCTGGACACACCTCCGGGAGTT